TGGCAGAGAATAGAAGTAAGAGAACTGGAGGTGAGTTCTGAAGAAAATTACTGTCTGCACAGTCTTGGATTTCAGCTCAACTTTTTCGCAGCTCTTTCTCACATTTCTCATAACTTAGCTATCACTCCTGCTGATGGAAAGTGCAGAAGAACGTCTGGCCTGAGCGTGTTTTAGCTCTTTCACTCCTATTTTGGAGAGGAGCAAGGATGAAGCTGTATCTGCTTATATAGTTGAGGGGAAACTGTTTGGAATATGTCAATAGTTGGTATGTTGCAGAAGATATGCTTGCCCAGAAGGGGATTCTGTTAATGTGAGACTTGATCTTTTCATCTGAGTGTTTGGGAGATAGTGGGTTTGAGTGAGGGTATCTGTTATTGTAAGCAATGTTTGCAACAGCTGCAAACACCATGCTTCCCTCATGTGTGTGGGTTTTCTTTTTTTTTCTTTTATTTTTTTTTTTTCCTTTTCATTGGTACTATTCATTTTGGTAGAAAATCCCCCCCTGAAGCGGAAGAAGGGTCCAGCCCCTAAGATGCTGGGAAATGAAGTGTGCAGCGTGTGTGGGGACAAGGCCTCTGGCTTTCACTACAACGTGCTGAGCTGTGAAGGCTGCAAAGGCTTCTTCCGCCGCAGTGTCATCAAGGGTGCACAGTACGTCTGCAAGAATGGCGGCAAGTGTGAGATGGACATGTACATGCGTCGCAAGTGTCAGGAGTGCCGGCTGCGCAAGTGCCAGGAGGCAGGCATGCGGGAGCAGTGTGAGTGCAGGAAATGGTGCTGGCGGGAGCACTGTGGTGCTGGGACGGGAGGCATGTGGGGCCAGGCTGGGGGCCAATGGGTGTAAGGAAGTGGGCAGCCTGAGTGCTGGGAGGTCTCTTGTGAGCCATGCAGGCTGCTTGTGGAATGTGTGTGGGAAGTCACTCAGAGCTTAGCAGGGATCACATGGAGAGGTGAGGCTGTTAGTGGAACAACACAGGTGTGCTGAGAGCCCCAGCCCTGCTGTATTCCTTGAACATGCTATTTTGTAAGAACTCCAGGGGATATGACATCAGAGGAAAGACTCACAACTGAGATTTATGCATTCTTCAGTATGCTGTCAACTGTATTGGTAAACTCAGGCTTCTGTCTGTCTTGTGATCAGGACTTCAAGGTTGGTCACTGTGCTCCTTGAACAGCAGGCACTTTCCTTTTGCCTTGTACTGTGAGCTTGTGACAGAGGTCAAGGACAGCACCACAGTACCGCAGCTATGTTTATGCAGACCTGATTTTGTTGCTCCCTTTAATGAACTTTGTGATTTTTCCCACACGAGCCATAAGACTGCTGTTTCTGAGTATTCAGTAGTGTCCCTGCTCACACATTTGGAGCATCCCAAGGCATTGGGGTTTCATTCTGTTATTGACCAAGACTGACCAAATGGTGCTTTGTTAATGTTAAATCTGTGTGAAGTCTACTTTTCTGACATCCAGTACACCCAGAACAGTGAGGAACAGAGAGTATTTTAGAAACATAAAAATATTTCTGCTAACAGTAAGGCCCACTGAGCTGCACCAAGGAAACATGCTGTTTGGTTTTTTTCAACATGACACGCAGCACACCTAACATATGCAATCAGTACCTTTGTTACACTGGTGTGTATCAGCATTACGTATGTTGTCTTTGCCTCATTTCCTCCTGCTCCTGAGAGCAACAGAACAGGTGTATTTGAAAAGCTACGTCCAAGGGTACCTGTCCACTTTGCTACTCTTCTGTTGCAGGTAGATACCAGACAGCCTCCATGTGTTTCTGCCTTTACTTGTTTTATGTTGAAGACAGCTCAGGAAAACTGGGCCAAAAGGAATCTTTGGGATGTTATTATCAAGTGCTTGGCAATTCTTGTCGACACTGTGATCCTCACTGCAAATTTGCTTTGTTCATCTTGACAGAAACTGAGGGCTTTTTCCTCCAGCTGTTTCACTTGGAAGGTCATTCTAGAACTTCCCTCTACTAATTGTTGGAAACATTCTTCTGATTCCCAGACTGAAGTTATTCATGGCCGGTTTATTGTTCTTAAGCCAGTGTGAACCACGAAGTCAAATAGTTTCTTCATGGCAAACCAAGTAACTTAGATTGCTTTGAATTTAGCATGGTGTAGAAGCTTGCACATAGGCAGTTTTCAAGATTCAGTAATATCTGGTCACTTGTTACTTGACTATAAATTCTTTGTGCATCTTGAGTCCCAAGATGAGGGACTGTGATTGCTTGGATCAATTACTTCCCTTTTTAAACTAACGCTGTGACTAGCATTCTCTAATCTTACAGATCCCCCTTAATTTTGTAATTGTATTGAATGTCTTTGCTGTTAGAATTGTAATTTTTGTGCATGTGTACTTGTGCGCACATCCTCCCTGTTGGAAGTTGGGGATAAAGGTTACTCTTAGCTTCAATGTACTACTCTTTGTCTTCCCCTCCAATCCTGTGGACTGTCCATTTCAGAATGCTCTCTCTCTGTTCTCTATTTCTTGTCTACATGTTTAACGTGATTCTTTTAAGAAGTTGAAGTATATACTTGTTCAGTTTTGTGACCTGCCTTCCCATGTAGCAGCCAGGTTTTCTTGTTACCTGTGCATAAAAAATGGCCAAAGAATCTTTCACCACTTTTAAAATCTTATTTAAAAAGTCAAGCTTTATTTTTTTAATCTTTGTTCCTGAAGATGCAGGTTTTTCCAGTCAGTCCCTTTTCTGCTTTTTGTTAGTTCATCACTAACATACAGAATGATTCTCTTCAAGATAATCCTTGCATCCATGTATGTCTGGTAGTTTCCTTTTTTTTAATTATTTTTTTTTTGGATGCAGCTTGCAGATAGTTTTGGTAGCTTTGACTTAGAGAAACAAAAAACGTCCTCTACATTCAAATCAGTGAATTTTTCACTTAACTTAGTTACAGGCTGTTAACAGTGGTTTTGTATTTAAATAGCTAATGAGCAGTGGGTCCAATCAGATTTTTCTGAGTTGTTTTACTCCGTACGTTACATCTAAATGGCATATCCTTTGACTTCATGACTGAAGAAGACTTCTAGCCCTACTCCTCAAGGACTGCAGTCCTCAGTTTATTTTGTGCAAAGCTATTCTGTCTTTATTGGTCTTGCAGTATGTTACTGTTCTACAGTCTGCTGCAGATGGGCTGTGTAGAAAAATGTCCTTTCACTCTTGACCTCCATCCAGTACTGCCACTGACTTCTCAAGAGGAAGATAAAATGACACAAGCTGTTAATTTAGCAATATTGGAAAAAGACACAACAGCAGGATAATATAAAATGCAATGGACACACTATGGTATGTGAAGAGACCACCTCTTGGAATCTGTTATGACATGACATTTTGGGGAATTGCTTAAAGTGGCTGTTGTCTTTCTGAGGTCTGCAGAAGAGAGCTTCAGTCCTTTGTGAACACTTTGCGTGACAGTACGATTAAAAGAAAGACAATGGAACATGATAAAGTGAGAAAAAGAGGGAGAAATAAATTTAAGTGTCAGTGTCTACTGTCTGTGTTGTGTACACTCTGATATACCAGATACAGGCAGCTGTGATTTCTGCTTCTCCATCCACAGCGTGTTACTCTGTTTAGTGTGGTTTCCAGTGTGCTTTTACGTCATGATTGATCATTGGCTATTCCTGCTTTAGATGTTCTGTCTGAAGAACAGATCCGACTGAAGAAGCTGAAGAAGCAAGAAGATGATCAGGCTCGGACGGTCGTGGTGCGTCCAAACCCTCCAAATCCGCCAAGCCCTTCCCACAAACTGACGCCTGAACAGTTGAGCATGATCAAAAAGCTTGTGGCCGCTCAGCAGCAGTGCAACCAGCGCTCATTCACAGACAGGCTCAAAGTGACGGTAAAAACTCTACCAGTGTACTCAAAATAAGTAGTAGTGAAGTCTGGGGAGTCAGGGTTGTGGGTAAATTATTTGGGAGAACAGAGATACTTTAGGCATTGCATCTGTGGGCTAAAGTTCTGTAAAGAATAGCAAGGGGTGGTATTCCAATGTGTCTCATTTTCTTTCTCTGTTCACTTCATCTTCTTATCCTTCTGCCCTGCCTCCATCTTTCACATATACACACTGTCTCTTCCCATTCCCACAGCCGTGGCCCCAAGTTCCTGACCCTAATAACCGTGAAGCAAGGCAGCAGCGTTTTGCTCACTTTACAGAACTTGCAATTATCTCTGTGCAAGAGATTGTGGACTTTGCCAAGCAACTACCTGGCTTCCTGGAGCTCACCAGGGAAGACCAGATCGCTTTATTGAAGACATCTACCATAGAGGTGAGAGTTTGGCTCCACCACAATACATAGTAGCAGAGATGAAAGAATTTGGAGTACCCACCTGGAGAACTGGTTCCATCCCTTTTTTTGGGATGGCAGGCTGAAGGACCTCAGCTATGGGACCATTACTGCAGTGCCAGGCTATACTGGCAAGGGGCCATGGAGGACCATGAGGCAAGAGCCTTGGTGGTGGTAAGCAGGTATTTCCCCCTTCCCAGAAGCAAACACCACAAAGGATGCAGCAGAATTTACCTTGGAATTATTAAACACTATGAGATAAACTGCTTGGAGGGTTTTTGTTGGTGTTTTCGGTTGGTTTTTTTTTTTTTTTTTTTTTTTCCAAGATGCTCTAACACTCAGTGAATTATTGCTGTTGTAACATTCTTTCCTGTCTTTAAATAAAGTATACCTATTTCTGGTTTCAGGTGATGTTGTTGGAGACATCTCGGCGCTACAATCCAGAGATTGAGAGCATCACCTTTCTTAAGGACCTGAGCTATAATAGGGATGACTTTGCCAAAGCAGGTGATGGATTAGACAGGTTTTTCTTCCTTCCTTGTTCGTTTTTAATGTGGGCTGCTGGAAATAGTATGTGGGGCCTTAAAGCTGAAGTCGGATGAGAGGTTTAGAACAGGACCAGACCAATAGCCCCACAAACTGTTTTTTGGTTTTAACATGTGTTACTAGCTCAGTTCATGTCTGTCTTTTTTTTTTTTTTTTTCTTTCTTTTTTTTGTGGGTGCAAAGTTGCTTTGGAAAATTTGGACTCTTGCAGCATGAAAATCTCGCTGTAAGAATGCACCTAGGGCTAGTAGGTGGTGTGAACTTCCTTGCTGGTAGAGATCTGGCATGGACATGTAGTTTTAGAGCCATATCACATCATAACAAATCAAACCCCCGTCTTCTCTCCTTTGCAAGTATACCACTTGCTAATCTGGATGCATGCTTTGAGTGATGACATTAGTATGATTACCTTTCGGTTGATACGAAGTCTAAAAGAAAGACATTCAGGTGCTGGAGCAGGTCCAGAGAAGGGCGACAAAGCTGATAAGGGGTCTGGAAAACAGGTCTTATGAGGAGCGGCTGAGGGAACTGGGGCTGTTCAGCCTAGTGAAGAGGAGGCTGAGAGGAGACCTTGTTGCTCTCTACAACTACGTAAGAGGAAGTTGTAGTGAGGCCGGTGTTGGTCTTTTCTTCCAAGTAACTAATGACAAGATGAGAAGTAATGGCCTCAGGTTGTGCCAGGGGCGATTTAGATTGGATATTAGGAAAAATTTCTTTACTGAAAGAGTGGTTAGGTGTTAGGTGGTGGAGTCACCATCCCTGGAGGTGTTCAAAAGATGTGGTGCTCAGGGACATGGTTTAGTGGTGGGCTTGGTAGTGTTAGGATAATGGTTGGACCTGATGATCTTAGAGGTCTTTTCCAACCAAAATGTTTCTATGATTCTATACTGAAGATTCCTGCAGAGTGCTTTAGACATGTCATCAGCTCAGTATACGACGATCTCTTTCTGAAGTCTATTTTTCCAGGAGCAATGAGTGTCTGTAATTCAGATGAAGTAATGGGAAGTGTGTCTCTTCAGCATTTCTGAGAATGAGACTTTGGCTGTCCTTCATGTGATTTTTGTGATTCCTTGGGTAGCTATTTAGTGATTTATACTTGAGATGACTTTTGTATACAACTTTCCTCTTTGATGCTCTTCCTGGTAGCCTTTTCTTCAGATTATTAAGAGGACAAAAAGCAGGCAGCCAGAAAGATTCCCTTCATCTTGTTCATCTTTCTCTGATGCAGTTGTACTGCAGGAAATTAGAAACTTGGATGCTGTTTTGGGGGAAAGGCCTAAAGGCTTCAGCATGATTGTATAGCACATAGCACAAAGAGATCCGATTTGACAGTGGCCTCTGTATGTTATGACAATAAATATCAATGCATATCTGCCTGACTGTGTTTGTCAGAGAAGGTGATTGGAAGCCTACATCAGGCTCTACCTCAGCTCTCCCAGCGTTTTTGAACGGAAGGAAATAGCATAGTTCAGACTTCTTGGAACTATATTTTCACTCAGACAGACTTCACATTAACCTGGAGCATGGGATTAAAGCTTTCTTTGAAAGCAGGAGTGCTGCTGGGTTTGAAGGAGGTGATGGTGTGAGAGTGGGAAGTGTAGATGTTGTGGGCTTCTGACTTTTTGACGGACTTATCTGATAGTTGATGTTGTGTTCCTGGTAATGTGCTGTGGGGCATTTAAGGCTCTAAGAAAACCCAGAAATAGTGTCATTTTACAGTTAGAGCCTGACTCCTCAAACGCTGTTGGTGGTGGTCATCAGTAGTGGTGGGATGTAAAAGGAGGTTTCAGCCACACGTGGAACACGGTTTTTCCCTGCCTGTCTGTCCTCCCCCCTCCCTGGCATACTGCAGTGGGTTTCTGGCAGCTTATTCCATGAGAGGGAGGGAGAGAGAGAGAGGAGACAATTGTCATTGCCTCACCTTGTTTTCTTCTGTTTGTTGCAGGTCTGCAGTTTGAGTTTATTAACCCCATCTTTGAGTTCTCAAAGGGAATGAATGAGCTACAGCTCAATGATGCTGAATATGCACTTTTAATCGCCATCAACATTTTCTCTGCAGGTAAAAATCCAGGGAGATTTGAAAAGCTGTAGCAGTGAGTCAGAGAGCAAAGAAAGTAGAGTTAAGGAAGCTGAAGAGGAGTAATAGAGGGTGTATAGGTTCTAGTGATAAAGGGAGCATGTTACTACTTCTGCTTAGGTTATTCACTATATTCTGAATTTTCTAGTGCCACCTCCGGAGGAAATGAGATTCCCCACTGCTGGGAAACTGTGTAGGAAAAACAGCCAATATTTATCTTCCTCATTAGAAAGTGCTTTTATTGTCCCCTTAATGTGTACCTGGCATCTCTGGTGTGATGCGGGTCGCACGGCACGAGTGACATCTAGTGGTCAAGTAGAGATACTCTGGGTGTGAGACCAGTATTGCTCTGGGCCAGGACAGGGCTTTGCGAAGAAGCCACCTCTACTCTTTATTTCTAATTTCTGTCTTGTGACCCGAAAGATGATTTTTTTTTTTCTTTCTTCTTTGTTCCTGTTTTTTAATTGGTTCAGCTGCTGGAGACACTTTCCCATTTCTTCCTGAATGGGCAGCTTCTCATCTTCACTGGGACAGGAACGTGAGACCAAACACATGTAGTGCTGTTTGGTCTCTCTAACTTTCCATCTCTGTAAGATGGGAATCCCCGTGTGCAGTAGACATCGCTGAGAAAGAACAGTTACAGAAAACTGACGTAGCTGCTGCAGTAATGGATGACTCTCCCAGTTGTGCTGGGTGAATTCTAGATGAGCTTTTGGGGAGAGACCATACTGCGGGACTGGGGTTAGGCAGGTATGTTAAGTCCGGTGACGCTGCCTGTGGCAATCTGCTTACTTCTAACCTGCTTTTTGTCAGACCGACCAAATGTGCAGGACCAGTCCTTGGTGGAGAGGCTGCAGCACACCTATGTGGAAGCCCTTCATTCTTACATTTGCATCAATAGACCAAATGTAAGTACCTGACCAGAACCTCTCCAATGATGATGCAAACTGGTTTTGTGTTTATGCAGGCACAGTTCCTGCAGTACTGTATGTAACAGTCTCTTGCTGCCTATACTGTCATGCTCTTCCGTTCTGTGGCTGTTTGGTAGCAGCTGTATGTGTGGGATTTGTGAGCTGTCACAGCCTGCTATCCTGTATCATGTTCCGTTGGTCAGCCAGCATGGAAAGTGTGGAGTTTTGGGTGCAGTATTTATGGTGTTCCACATTGCCACCTCCTGGAGAATGCCGGGTTTAGAGGAAGTCAGGATTGTGGTTACAATGCATCATCTGGTGTGGTAATTTTTTTGAACAAAATTTTAGTGTGAACTTACTAACAGCTGTTTATTTTTCTGACTCTGCAGGATCGCCTGATGTTTCCACGGATGTTAATGAAGCTGGTCAGTCTTCGGACACTAAGTAGTGTCCACTCTGAACAGGTGTTTGCTCTTCGGCTGCAGGACAAGAAACTCCCTCCCCTGCTCTCAGAAATCTGGGATGTGCATGAGTGACTGCATGCTCCCAGGGCACTGATGTGCTGACATAATGCCATCTCCCAGCCTTTGCTAATGAGAAACCAGCCTCCCCTCTCCAAAGCACTGAACTCTGGGCTAGGCAGTGCAGGAAGTGACGAGCCTGGGGTTTCAATGTTGTCATGAAACTATGCAGGAGGCAACTGGGGTAGATCCAGAGGGAGGGGTTGGTTTCGATGTAGTGCCCATACCCCAAAGGAATAACGTGAAACATCTGAAAGCGGTAGAAATGAAGACCTTCTCCCCACACACATACACCTCTTTCTTCAGGATCTTTCTCTTCTCTAAGCATGTCCTGAGGGCTTGCCCATTGATCCTTTCCTGTTGTTGACTATGGAAATGAATTTGCAGGAACTTGCCAGACCCTCTCTATTGAGAGTAACCCAGCTCAAAAGGCTTCTGCAGGGTCCCCAGTGTAGCTGGATCTGAGGAGCTCAGGGAAGTCAATGTGGATGTTCTAGGGGTTTCACTGGGTTTCTTATAAATAAAATCTCTTGTATGTGCTGCCATTTACAATGATTCCAAGGGAAGTACCTATTATTTCTTTATTATGAGACTTCATCTCTAGAGCTGCCCTTTCATTCTGGCCCTCCTTTGGAAAATAATTCCTCTAATGTGTGGTGCCCTCTGTCTAACAGGGACGTCCTCTGGGCAGGGAACATTTGTACGTCAGAAAGATGTCAGGCATGAAGTAGTGGATTTTCTTAATGTAATACATTGCAGTTTTATCTCATGGTGATTCTCAGCCAGTTCAATTTACCTTTGATTTGCTAACAGCTGGAAAATTCTAGTTCAAAACAAATCAGGGCATAGATTTTATCTTTAGGGGCGGAATAGAAGAAAGATAGGTGGGAAGAATTGGTACCTAGGCAAGGTAGGTGTGGTGGAAGGATCTCAAAAACTTCCAAGAATCTGGAGCATGTGGTGGTGTGTGTTTGAAGGTGGGTGTGAAGATGTATTGGCCAAGGAGAGAGGACACACTGTATTTAGTGAAATATGTGGGCATTGCGTAAGCTATGGGCTGCACAACTCTCAATCATGGGCTACCGGAATATTGGGTGTAACCAGATCCACTTGCATCTTCTTCCTTTTGCCAAAGTCTTTCCAACGTACTTGCTGAAAGTTTTTGTGATGGTCACCATTTATGGAGGTCCCTCCTGTATGAGGAGTGCCAACCAGTTTAGAATCCTTTCATCACTTTGGGCACTGTGAGATCCACACTGGATTTATGCCCCAAGTTCTTAAGTACCTACATCCATAAGTATTCTAGGATTTACAGCAATATTTTGTCTGACAGAAGAGAAATATACTGTTGTAAAACATGTTCCTTGTTTTCCAAGAAACAACGTTATGGCTGATCTCAGAATTGTAACCTTAAGTATCCTGGTAGCTTGGTCTCATGAGTCTTCTCTGTCATAGGGGTCTATATTTGCTTGCCCAGTGAGCATCCCAAGAGCCTAGGTTCACATGGCTCTTTTTTGTTTATTTGGTGGGTGGTTTTTTTTTTGCTGTGTATCTGAGCGCTATGCCCGTGGTGAGGGTATTGTGTCCATTTTGCACTTGAGGTTGGTCCCCTGCCACTGGCCTTCACTCTGCACCTTTGTAAAGCACTTGTAACAATCTGTAAAATAATCTGTTGGTTTTTTATAACTCATTGCAATTGCAAAAATTCTTGTTTAAATCTGTATTTTTAACTAATCTGTTTGAGAAATGTTAATGTTTATATAAAAGAATAAAGCCTAATACAGGATTTTTACATTCTCGGATGTGCTGTCATTAGACTGGAAGAGGGCGGAATAGATTTTTGATGTCACAAGCTCAAAGCTGATACGAAAGGTTGGGGAGAAGCAAGAAGTGGTGAAAAAGAAGTAGCAGTGCAACCCCAGGCAGTTTCTTTGGGCCTCTGCTACAAGATTTTAGCTTGCTATGCACCTTGATGTGTGCCAGAGCTGGCAAGTATGTTAAGTGGATTAAGTGCATGTCATGAAGACCGTGAATTATCCATACATACCTCACCTTGATTTGTACGATTACATTCAGACTTCAACCCTTTTATTCCATGTGTTCTGCTCCCATTTTCTGCCTGTCATGGCTCACCAAAATTGGGAGTCCAGTGTGTCGCTAGCTGTTGAGTGAATTTTTGGCAGAATTCTAGCTGATACCTGGTATCAATACATTAGAAATGATCAGCATAGGAGAAGCAACAGGAACAGCTGTCCATACATGTTACCTTGAAGGGAATGGTAGAACAGGGGAAGCGGAGAGCTGTCCAGCATTAGCTGCTGCCTAAACACTCTGCCATCCCCTGCACAATGGGAAAGGAAAGCAATTGTCAATTCAGCAAGGCTCTGCACCACAAGCTATTCTGCTGAAGCCTCTGCATTATTTAGTATAAAATCCAAATTGGAAACTACTAAGCCAGAGGAAGAGAGAATAGGAATAGACTTACAGGAGACCGCGGCAGGGTATGAGATGGGGAGTAGTGAGCAGAGCTTGAGAACTCAAGCCAGCCCTGCGTGGATTAGAGGGCTGCTGGACCCTACTGCAAGAATTTACTAAAGATGAGATTGCCACTGCGTCTTCTGTTAACAATGAAGCTGCGGCTTCATTTTTAGCTTTTCTTCATTTTGAGCTGTATCTCATTTTTATTAATTTGAGGAGAAAAACTGCATGTAGATTTGAGGGATTTTCAAGGTACAACCCATAATGTTGCTGTTGATGGCAGTGGTGAAAACAGTGATTTTCCTTGGCTCTGGCTTCTCCATTCCTTTTCATTATTATGTAATCAAATATAAGTTCCTTATTTACATACTCGCATTCTCATTTTTTTTTTAAAGTGCAAGTTGGTACAGAATTAGGTTTTAGTTTTATAGCAGCTTCCCAAAGTAGCCCAGCGAGCTAAAGTAAGCAAGTGTAGGGGAGGAACTTCCCTTGAGATCAGTGGCCCTCTGGACTTTTATATTTGCAAAATGCTACCTAGGCTTGAGACGCAGTCCTGCTGCTGTAAGTCTCTGTACCCTATCCATTTCAAATAATTTTGCTAACTTGGCCACTGGAGAAATCCTGGGGTGCTGGAACTACAGTCTCAGGTGGTGTTCCCTGTTGGCTGTACCCTTAGGCAACAGCTGTGTTTGCTCACAATCTATTCAGATCAAGGGGGGGGGGGGGGGGAGAGAAAAGATGGATGTTTCTGAAATCCCAGTTCCTCTGCAATGGGCAGAATATAGATGTGGAATATTAAATCAAGTGTTTTACTATTTTGCCACCTTATTTTTTTTAAAACCATTGGGTAGTTTTGGTTGCATTTTGGGTTTATTTTAGTAATTTTGGTTTTGTTAATAAATGGATTTGTTTGTGCAGTGTACTGGCTTATAGGAGCTTGGAAGGAATTAAAAAAGCTGTATCTCAAGGTTCTAATAACCAAATTTTCTTGTAAACTTACGAAGCCAGCAGCAAATCAGCAAGTAGCTCAATACAGGGTGAAAGCACACAGCACTGTGTGTCCTTGTTGTAAGGTGGCCTTTCCTTGTCAGTGTGGCTCTTGCTGGCCTTGCTTGCCTAGAGCCAGGTTTTGTTGTGGGGCTTCACCTTCTGCTTGCTGGGACGAGGTTTGAAAGCAGTTATTCGAAGCTTCACGTGGCAGAAATGCTGGAAGTGTAGAATCTAGGGTATCTTCACCCAGCCTGGGCTGGACGCAGCCTCATTTGTGTCTGCGCAATGCTTTTTCCCTCCCTGCCATCTTCCCTTCAGCCTGCCAGCTGCCCCTCACCGTCCCCGGCTGACAACTGAGGGTGATGACGCCGAGGGCCGGGGCGGGAGCGGGCTCCGGGGG